GTATGCTTCGCTGACAAACTCGTCAACACGCTAACTTATATCAAACGCTGGACTGATTACGGAAAGTTGAACATTCTCATTTCCGCTAACAACTGGTTGGCCCATTGCCTAGAGGTGACGAGCTTATCTCCTAATCTTGCGGCCTGGGTTCGAATCCACGTAGGGGTGGGCGTCCTCGCGGTATACTCAGCCCGTGTGCAACTGATGGTGATCGCACGGTAGCGAAGCGCCGTTACGGCGTACACAGCTGACACATCATCTTCCCAACAACGAGACCACGTTTCTTAGTCGCTGATACTTTAACAGCCAAAGTGTTAAACTGGCTGACAATATGTTTCCACGCACTAGCTAGTGCCTCGTTTGCCAGAAAGGTCCAGTTTTTTGTTTCACCTCGTCGAGCTTATATACCCTGGGGTGTATACGTTCGCGTTGCGTCTGCCATTTCCACAGGATATTTTTACATGGCAAATGTATTCGCAGAGTAGGACTGCATGGTCGCTGAGGCCCGCTGGGACGTCGACGATTACTCCCTCGACCATCAGTTCTTCGTTGGTGAAAATCTGATCCAGTATAAACGGTTTATCCTTTTCTCGAAATTGTATGAGAGTGTTTATTTGGCCATACAGTAGGAAACTGGAGACAGACTTTCGTAGGTCCGCCTTACACTGCTCTTCCGGCTTAGGATTCCAGAGTGTGTGTGTTAAAATCGCCAGTACTATGTGACTGTAGTTCTTGTTTATCACTCACAGTTCGGATGCCAGAAAGTAGTCCATCTCAGACGTGGAGGAGGGAGGGCGATAAACGAACGCCACCAAGCAGGTGTCATTGCTTTTCAAGCCTAGACGGCACCAAAGGGAATCCTGTACCGTATTGACCGGATCCTCTATGGACTCACAGTGGAAATCACCGCGAGGTACAGAGCAACCCCTCCAACTTTGCTATGTCCGTCGTGCCAAACAACGGACAAGCCCGGCCGCGCGATCTCGATGTCACTTATGTCGGAGCATAATCATCTCTCTGTTAAAGTGATGAGGTTACAGGCCTTTGATCATTGACACAGCCGCAATAAGAAAAGCCTACTCAGTATGCCTTGAGCGTTATTATACATACAGGAAAACTTGTATGTCGAAAGCCCTTGCCTAGGGGCATGTAGAGGATGTGGATTTGTGCCGACCGATGAGAGGCCGGCATCTAATCGTTTTATGGGTGACTTGCCAAACCTCGATGCGAATGCAATCAGATTTTGGTCTCACTTGCATCTGTAATATGTAGTTCATCGGTAGCTTTCTCGATATTTGTGGATCGGTGTGCACAGTTTTCTGAACCACTGCTGTAGTTCTCTTGAGTCGCGAGTGCTGTCGTTTCCGTGTGGACAGCGGGTGGCTGCGGTTCTTTGCTGTCTTCAGTCGTAGTCCCGAAGTAAGCATGCAGCGCTATGCGTCAGTCTAACCGGTGGTGTTTGCATAGTCACTGCTTTCGACCCAAAGAAAGCAACGTTGTCCGCATATTCTAGGTTCGTCAGTCAGTCGCCTGGCGGAACGTTCGTTCCAGTAGAGTGTGGAAACTCAAGAGTGTCTCCTGTAGCTCCATACATGGCCTCAGGTGCCTTTGATCAAGACCCACGATCAAGCGAAGGGTTTGCAGTGGCACCCGCTGCTTACACAATTCGATTGCACTAACATGGCTACAATGTAGCCCGAAAATCGCCTAGTCTCCTTGCTCCTTATTTCTTGCCAACAAATTGGTAGTTTTCTTTTTTGCATGCAATATGTCCAACCCGATTTGCAACACCTCCAAAGTACCTTGCAGTACTCCTAATTTAAAGTGAAATTGGTATATATATATATATATATATATATATATGTATATATATGGTTGGCGGCATCCGGTTTTGGATTTGCCTGTCACTGTGGCCAGCCACAGGACGCCTGCGGCTAAAGAGGGATCATGGGTGGCTTGCGCTGCACCACCCACAGCTCCAACCACACACCCCATATCCAGTGTAAACCCGAAGGAATAAGACCGGGAGGCATGTGGATGGGAGCCACGTTTCATCAACGGAGCCGGCCCACACCCCTTCACAGCAAACGCAACCACGCTGTATTTAGGAATCGAACGCACACAAGGCGGTGGCTGGACCGTAGTCCGCTCCACACTGGATGCATGAAACCACTCTTTGATCCTAACACGACCACAAGGACCGTGCACCCCGTCCCCTCTAGCAACGACCAACTGTCTCCTGGAGCCTGTATGAACGAGGTAGTGGGTAATAGACAGGTAGGCACCTTGACAATATGCACATCAAGCGCATCCACACCGGGGATATCAAACAACATCCACTTACTTGAGAGAAAGATAACAATGAAAATAAATCGAGTAATTCATAAGGAAACGATGACATACATCTTAAATTAATGAGCATATGAAATAAATTGTTTATGAAAGAATCCGAGATAAGTTCACGAGGTCAAAGAGTATATTTTACGGAAATGTTATGGAAATTGACTACAATTAGCTTCAACGACGTGTGCAAGTTTATGAAAGAGAGTACTGGTAGACATTTATATAAGAAGGAAAAGCATTGGACAAAATGGAAAACTCACCACCTGAAACAAATAGACTTAGCATGCAAGCACGCGGCTAGTAAATCGTGCCTACAAACGCTGCGCCGGTTCTGCCTACGTTCTCTGCAGGGCCCGTCGTCGCTTCGGTAGTGGTCCAGAGTGGCCTCGCTCATGGCTGACTAGGCCTGCCTGACTCAGGCACTCGCGACCACACGTGCTACGGCACCATGCACTCGATGTCGACGGAGTACAATCCATCGGTGCTTGCCGCTTCCGCACTTGCCGCTTCTTCTCTGCATGCATGAGGTCTTTCTCCCGCACCTCGGCCACTGCCTTCGAGATGAGATGGCGTCCTGCAGGTCGATCAACTGCCTTCGATTGCTATGACTTGCAATCAAGATTAGAACGTGTGAGATGCTCACTTTGATCATGTCCTGGTAACGTAATTTTGGTTTCCCCACGTACTGCTTCCCAATACTCAGCTGACCATATAAGAGTTGCTTCGGTATCCGAGTCGAATCCATACGGCTCACATGACCGATCCACCTCAGGTGTCTCAGCAAGAGTATGCAGTCCACTGCATACATCCCACTTCGGCGCAACACTTCCGTCTCAGCAACTCTGTTGCCCCAACCGATGCGCAGAATCCGTCGCAAACAATGTTGATGGAACCGCTCGAGATATCGCACATGCCGCGGGTACATCGTCCACGTTTCACTGCCGTATAGAACGGACAGCACCATGGATTTGTACACCATCAGCTTCGTGCCAATGGTAAGCTGATGGTTGTTGCACGCTCGATACTCTAGCTTCCCGAATGCCGCTGCTGCCTTCGACACGGGAATACGAAACTCAACGTGTAGCTGCTGATCAGTCGACATCACACTCCCAAGGTAGCAGAAGCGGCAGGTGGCTGCCAATACTTCAGCACCAATACTGTATTGCGACACAGTAGCTGAGGTGTTTCCCACCTCTAGCTGACGTGTATGATGATGATGATGATGAGCACCAATGCTGATTTTTCGCAATTTTGACTATTGCACCTCCGGTGAAGGCTGAAAGAGACGGACAGTTTTGCTTGTGTTGATGGTGAGCCCGAATTTGGCCGCTGTCGAAGCCAGAGCACTAGTCATGTGCTGCAACTCATCCGCGCTGTGTGAAAACAACGCACAGTCGTCAGGGAACAGGAACATACGGATAGTTGTCTCACAGACTAGAGTTCTCGCACCGAAACGACGGATGTTCAGCAACCCACCATCAATACGGTGCTCCACACGAACTCCGTAGGCACAAGCTGCATCAAAAGCACAAGACAACATTGCATGAAGATATATATTAAACAGGGCAGGAGCTACGACACGGCCTTGCTTCACACCAGAGACAACTGCAAAGTCATCCGAGCAAGTTGATGCCACGATAATTCGTGCAACATTGCTTGCTTCCTTTGTCCTTGTACAGTGGTAACACAAGGACATCCTTCAACTCAGCAGGCACCTCCTCCTCAATCCATACGCGTTGCACCAAGTGGTGCAGCGCAGTCACCAATGCGGGTCCGCCGTGTTTCAATACTTCAGGCGGGATCCCGTCGGCCCTTGCACACTTTCCGTTTCGCAGCTGAGCAAGTGCTCTCTGCGTCTCATCCAGTGTCGGCGTGTCCGCCAGATCCGCCTTCAAATCGTGCTGCTTGAGGCCGTTCAAATTATGCCGGTCGATCTCTGAGCGGTTGTTCAAGAGACAGTCTAAGTGTTTTCGCCAGATCTGCATTATGTCTGCAGTCTGTGTGCAGGTAGCGCCTGAACTACCATTGATCCTCAGCGGCTCCAATCTCGGTCCATATACCGCCTTCAAGGTGTCAAAGAATTCCTTGTGTTGGCGGCGTTCGGCGTAGCATTCCATCTGCTTCGCCTTCTCCGTCCACCATGCATTTTTAATGCGACGGAGCTCTCGCGTCATTCGCCGTCGAAGTTTGCGAAACTGACTATTCTTCCCCAAGTCCCGTGGGTCTTTAACATGTGCAGCAAATGCTGCATTCTTCTCCGACACCAATGCGTCAATCGTCGCATTGTTCTCATCAAACCAATGAGGCGGTTTACAGTTTGCGAGCCCGATGGTCTCCTCGGCAGCAGCTGTTACCCAGTCGCGAATGTGGTGCCACAGGTCGCCCACTGTGGCTATGCAGTCCACATCACCACACAGGCGTGCAGCCATCGACTTTTCCAGCTCAGTACGTTTCGCCACAGTACCGAGGGAGAGAATGTTAAATTTACGCCGAATCACGGTATATATATATATATATTACATATATATATGATCAAGCCAATCACTTTGTGATTGATTTTGAAAGGCCACCTTTGCGCAATCTTTTCATTTGCCGCTGGTTCTCTTTCTTTATCGTCACCCATCACATTACCAAATCACCTACCACCCTCCGTTTAGTTCGCCGGCGCTATGTCTTACTGCATCAGCAAGGCTGCTTTGGATCAATTCACAAAGTGCTGTGCTTTGGGTGAGTTTTCACATTTCTGTTGACCATTTAACTGGCATATGCTTATATAAAAACCCTTTCCGGCTGCTTTTTCCATCCAAGGTACAACTGTTGTATTTTCATCGTAGCGATTATGCCCCCTTGCCGTTCTGTCTCTCATATCTTATTCATTTGGAGAAACATTTGTTCACATATTCGCAGCGCCTTACTTTGGGAAGTAGTCTGGCCCAAGTACCTTAAGAGACCGCAACATTCCGGCTTGTGTTTATTCCTCCACTGTTTTTCACCCATTGCTACTCGTTAATTGCTGTGCCTTCCCTCCGCCCCGGTCCCAAAGTCTTAGCATCTGTTGCTTTCTCCTGATTGTCTGATTAGCGATCAGGCGTATTTTACAGACACGGCCATGTTGCTCCATTTCACCATCGACTCTAGTATCCTCCTAAATGATTGCTCCACCGTCATGGGGCTACTGTCCATGCCATCTACACCGCATCGCCGTGCACACGACTAGTGCTGACAATTAGGTTTGTGACAGTGCTAGAAAGTCACCTAATTCATCTGCTGCGGAGCAAGCGAGGCACACACTTAGATGTAACGTAGACTGTCTACTACTATCGTCTTCATCCATTTCTACAGCTTACGCATTGTGCCCACAGCGAAGTCAATCAAGCAGCTACCTTGGAAGGGAAAATGTACCCTCCTCAAGTTTACAGGTTGTGTTCGTTTAACACACTTCTCAACCAATCTTCGAACTGTCATTGTTACTCGTTCATCAGCTCTGCTTGTTGTCGGACATTGCCACTGAATCTACGCAACCAGTGTCAACTGATCATTGGAGGGTGTAAAAGAGTTTTGGGCACACAGCGTCACTCCTCTTGCTCCGCAAAGTTGGCTTGTATTTCCAGGCTTTTACTGCTTGTACTCCCATTCTCTATTCTCAACAGTTATTACACCACACTGATCTGACACAGTGCCCCATTTTGATCACAAATTTGAGCGCGCATAGGTACGCCTTTTCGTCAACAGGCAACATTCACCGTGATTGCACCATTTCTCGGTGTTATCTCGGAATGTATCATAGTGTTACCCTGCGGAACCTAAAGATACATGTACCGAGTTCTTTCCCCGGAGGAAAAGCTAGTCTGAACTGTGGAATGGACACCGTCCTGTTCGTTCATCATCTCGAGGCGAGCCAACTTAGCATTGACAGACTGATAAAAGGGGTTCCACTCCTCGGTATCCATTCTTCACACTCAAGCTATTGAAGGCTGTTGAGGGACTACCAGTTACTTTCTGACGTTTTTAACCTTACTGACGACAAACTAGAGATCATGGTTAATTCAGCTGCCTTGGCAGTTACGAGCATTTGATTGCTTAAGTTGATACGCGTATTATAAATGCTGTGGCTGATTTCAAGGATCTGTGATGCCTTTGGCATTAGAAAAGAATTTCCCTGTCTTGAAGATTGTGCATTCCAAACTACGGTGAGGATTGCTCACTTTCACAGCGATAAACATTGGCCTCTTCGATCTGATTATCTAGGGTACCTTCAGCTCTGACCATCATTGTTAACGGAGCGTTGTTCGTGCCCGTTGACAGACTAGTATTAGACGCATGCGAGCGTTGGCGGCTGAGGCAGGTCAATATTTTGAATGAACAGATAAAACGGGATACGTTACTTTGGCTTTGGCAAGGGCTACAGATAAACCATCCACTACTCTTTGGGAGTCCTTTATATTGTTTACTGGATCTAGTATGTTACTAGGCACCCGTGGAATAATCGTCGATCCAGCGTCGGATAATAAGCTTAGTGTCCATCGGGTTGAGTGTTGTTGTTCTGTCTCAGCTTCCAGACTGCGGCACGCGTGACCCACCATGTGCTTGGCTCGATACATCCACAGGTATGGCCAGCAAGCGACGTACGTGGCAAACTTATTTCACTGTACGCGGCCAGATGCTGAACAGCAACTTAGTTTTTACATTATATCCTACCTCTGCCTTATTATTTATCATTTGTATGATCATCATCTTGTATGTTTTTATCATTTGTATGCTCCTACCTGTTACATCGCCTCGAAGGATCGGTTCAAATTGCTGGCGCACTGCTTTTGTTGACGATAGTGGCCAGTGTCCCTGGCTTGCTAATTTCTGAATGTCCCTAATTTACATTGGCTCTTCTTTTTCCTACCTTTTAACTGAGATCGCACTGCTATCGCACACATTATATTCTTGCCGTCTGCTTTTACACGGATAACCGGAGTTTCGCAAATACGCACATTGCCTTTGTAATTGAAAATGAAACGTCTGCCTACAATTTCGGTGGATCCATTTTGGTTACCAAAACTGTTTCTAAATCAGCCTGGTGATACGTTATTTATTTTCAAATGCCTATTGATACGAACAGTGCCCCACGCCAGCAGCATTCTCACTTTGGAAGGATCTGGTTCCTCACAGAATCATCTGACTCGCGATCTATAGGTTTGCCAGGGTAGTGGTAAGATCCCAGGTGAAAGAATCTTTGCGAACGGATGCGTGCTCGTTGCGACCACGTCTTGTGGGAGGTAAGGCGAAGTTGACTTGTCCCGGCATTACGTAGCAACTTTTTCAGACCATCATCTCTGCATCATCTTGCCGTATCCGACTGGTGGGTTTAAACCCATCTCGTTCCGAGTAAAAGCGGCTTCGGACCCTCAGCACACCGTTGTTGTTGTGATGATGTTTTCAATCACACCGGTCGCTTGTACAACTTGCAGATTGGAAGTGTGTGATCATTATGATTGCTCATCGACCTGCATCTCCACAGACAATCAGAAACATGTCGACTGATCTTGTATAGACCATAACTGATGATTTGTTAAAACGAATCTACAAGGTTACGTACACCGTTTGGGTCATCACCCTACAAAATTTTATTTGGTTCGATTTCAACGTAGAACCACGTCTTTGTCGAATGGATCGTTGCTGATTACCTCCGTTCTACTAGCTTCGGTTATTTCAAACACACGTTCCGACTAACAGATGTAAACAGCACCTCGTAACTATAGGTCAGGACAGTTCCAGTGAGCTAGCCGAATCATTCACGTTTCTACCGAGTCATACTTTTCTAACTGCGGGACAGAAAGCAAATAAAGATATTTGGTCATTCGCCGTCAGACCTTTGAAACCACATACGAAATGGAAACTGGGACATGCTTCACTTGAGTGGACTATTTTAAAACAAACGGTCCACTTGTGCCGAGCCGCACTTCACATACCCATCGGTTGGTAATCGCACCACGAACATTTTGCCCCCCCCCCCCATCAGTGGCACCGTTGTTCCCACGCGTCATGGTCCACGGCAGTTGTGAAGCCATCACAGACTTTTTATTAGGTTTCTGTTGTATTCGCTGTGTGATTGTGCTGCGATACGCAATGTCTATTTCATAGTAAACCTTGGTCATTTCACTCGCTAGGACTACGTCTCAATGCACTGCTGCTCCCAATGTTGTACTCCTCAACCGGTTGGAGCTACTCAAATGAATCCGACAGTGAATTCCTGGCCATTGTAACAGTGTTGCTGGGTGCATCAAACAACCGGTTTTTTAGGCATCTGAGGACAATTTCTACATCCAGTATGCCGGCCCCAGACTCCTGCATCTGAAGAGACCGAACTGAGGTATATTTTATGTAAATTCGCCACCCTTATTATAATTTCGAGAAGCTAGCGAGTTACAGCGCCAGGGGTACATGCACAACGTTATCAATTAAATATAGTTGTCACTGTTTTCGGTGGTGCGTATTTCGTCCACATGGTGCCAGTGTGTATCGAACAACTGGCTTGGACTGTAGGTTGTGGCTCTATTGTACAGTGGAAACTTCTACATGGATTAAGTTGGAATGCGGCCTGATGTCCACACCTTATCTTTATCTGTAATGTGCGCCGTGTATGATTACAGGGAACTCTTTGGGTTATTCACTTGTATATATAGCTCCTCTTGCTATTAGCTCATCTACTCACAAATGGAGTCAATCACTCAAGTGGTGGAGCCTTCAACTTTAATCGTGCTACGGATTTACTAACACATGCTTCCCTGTACTATGTCAGGAAATCGTAATTAGTTCTGTAACCAACGAGTACTTGCTACTGGATCCACCACATTTCGGCAACCGGACCATAGTTGTTCAATTGAAGTGAACTGAGCTTATCTAATGGCTATTTTGAAAGTTCTCTATGATGTAACTTATCGTTGTTGCGACCTAAATCTTCACGCCCGGACCGTAATTTCTATGGTGTCGCGAATGGTATTTTTCGACCCTTTTTATTCTGCGACATCCCCACTTGTTACTCTGTCACCTGGGCTTCTAACACCAGCGGAACATACAATCTACTCTATTTGTCTTGCTAACAATGTTCAATTATTTCGTCCTTGTTTTAGAACTTGCTTCCAAAGGAATTCGCGTCAACAGCGTAAAGTACGTGTATACCCCACATCACTCCCATTGAATTTTTCGTCGGTCTTACTTCTGTTTTCACATAAAAACATAAGTAAAATCTTGGTCTATCAACGTTACTTCGACTCTCATATGAAAATGGACTCTGTATTCCACCATGCTATCACTTATTCCACCTGTTCGTCATTTTAAATGGCATTTGGTACGGAATCGTCTCTGGACATGCATTACTTCACTTTCACCATCGTACCTCTTACGGTTTCCGACGCAGTCTAGTCATCTTGGCTGATGCTATCGGTAGAACGGAAGCTGTTGTTCAGTTTATCTCCGTATGTCGGCCCTGCCCTAAACATCGATGTGCAGTGGAACGAGTCACTAACTCCCAGCTCACGGAATAAGATCATTTATGAAGTATTATGACATAGAGAAGCTAGAAATTCACCACTGAGGTGAAACTAGTACCCGGGCTTCCAAACTAGAACCGGCAGTTGGAAGCAAGCTGATGAACGAAAACCACCACTAGCTCCTGAGCTCCACCGCCTCAGGCACATTTTAATGCTTCCCATGGCCGCCATTCGCTAAGACGACTGCACCATTGCGACTCTATCTTCTTCACGGGCCTTGTGTGCCTTTGCTTATCGTCTTATTAGGTGCAGTTCTGGTAACCAGCACAAGCGGAGGTGAATGACGCGTGGCCGGATCAGTATACTCGATGTAGGTGTATCAGGCCGTCCAATTCAAAGCCACACGGCTTGTTGCCTACCTCCAGTTTGTATGCATATATTTTACTCCGCTGAGGTATCTATGATGTTGCGTAGGCACCGGTGCTCATATGCGAAATCAACTGATGTAGTTCTCGGTCACATCACCACTAGAGGCGTTACGCCCAACCTAGACACCCCAATCGTCTGATCAGTACTGTTCTAGGTAGCACTCCGACACTTTATTGCTCTCTGTACTTTCAAGGAATATACTGGATTGTGTCAGTACGGCGGTTATTTCTTCGGTGCAGATTGTGTATTGATTTCGCTAATTCCATTATAGCATTATTACTGTCATTTGGTTTCCCTGTGGCTTGCATTGAGATAGATACTAATCGGTACTTTTGAGACAGACTGTATTTAAGGCAAGCAGAAAAGTTTCTGTACTACTCTTGGTTTATGAAAATTCAAAAACATTTGATTGCGGATTTTCTGCGGTAGTGTTTGGTCAGCTAATCGTTCGCCTATGAATTCGCATTGGTGCCGTTATTTCCGGGTATAGGATGTATTTTTGCCTTGTATGTGCACTGTTTCACAAAAGCATTCGTTTCCAAAATAATCGCCGACACGTATTTTAAAACACTTCACAGAATCGGCTTCTATTAGTCCTTCTGGCAGGGTATTCCATAAGTTTACTATCCTTCGTTCCATACAAAGTTGATGTGACACCCATAAATGCATGGAACTCTGAGCTCGTAGCGCTGTCCTCGAGTGTTCCCGGGTTCCAGCAGGTGTACCATTGGCCGCAATATGAGGAAGTGATTCAAGTGTAGTATTCGATGGGTCATAAAATGCCCAATTCCTACTTGGCGGTAGGATAGTGTGTAGTGTCCGAGTCTTTCACAACGTTTTTCATACGGAAGCTTTCGTAGACTGAGGAGCATTCTAGTTGCGAGGTGCTGTATTTTCCCCAGCTATTCAGTTTCCCACTGGGTTATCGGATAGTAAGCTGGGGCGCCGTATTCAAGCATTGGTCTGATGAGCGAGTTAAATGTGCGACGGACGATTTCCTCAGACCATGTGGAGAAACTGCGTCGTAATGCCCAGAGCACACAAAGTCCTGCATTGCACAATTTCTCTGCGTTTTCTAGTGGTCTCATATCACATCGCCAGAACACTCCTAAGTCTGACAGATATGTTCGGGTGGAGCAGCTGACCGTCCAAGGTGTATGATCGAGTGGTTGAACGTCTGGTGATACTGATGAACTCCGACTCGCTTGCGTTAAAAGGGATTTGCATTTCAGTGGACCACGTTGACAGTCGATTTGTCATGCCGGAGGCGAACGCAATCGTCCTGGATCTTACTGATCCTCTAGATTTTCAAATCATTTGCAAATTGGGCACAGTATGACCGGAGCTACTGCGCGCGATCGTTGATATGAAGAAGAAATACTACTGGCCCAAATACAGTTCCTTGAGGCACACCACTGATCAATGGGAACCAGTCTGTCAGGTAGTCCTTGACCTGTACATTATACTTACGTCCCACAAGGAACTCGTGTAACCACTAAACTAGCGTTCCACCGATTCTGTAGGTTCTCAGTTTATTAAGGAGTACCTCGTGGTTCACTCTGTCAAATGCCTTACTAAAGTCGATGTACACTACGTCAACATGCTTCCGTTCCTTGAGAGCTCGTATCCACTGGTGGTTAGCATACATCAAGTTGGTGATGCAGGACCGCCGTTTCCTGAGATCGCGTTGCGCTGGCGTCAATACGTCCATCAATTCGAAGGGCCTCAGCAGACACTTTTTCACTACCTTCTCGAGAACTTTGGACAGTATCGATGTCAACCAAATCGGTCCATAGTTCTCTACTTCACTCGGATCACCACCCTTGGGAAGCGGTCTCACCATCGAGTATTTCCAGTTGTTTCCGACAGGTTCTTCAGTGAGTTATTTATTGAATAGGTTTGTCACGGCTGGTGAGATGACATTCGATAGGGACTTAAGTATTAATGGGTGAAGTCCGTCTAGTCCAGGGGGCTTTGCACCATCGAGGTTGACGAGTAGCTGGTGCACTTCGACTGTATCACCTTGTCGGCTGTCCAGCAAGACTGACGCAACCTGTGTCGGTACTGCAACAGCCGCCGGTTTACTGGAAAATACGATGAGGAAGTGCGAAGGCAAGGCGTCTGCGTGCTCCTCGTTTGATATGGGTGTCTGTCCGTTCAAACTCTCTAAGGCCGGTTGGTCGCGCGCAGGTTTCAGTTGACGTTACAAGTAGGCACATATTCTAGTGGGGCCGGTTGTGGCTGAGGCTGTTAGGTCTTTTTCGAACTGCCGGCGTTTCATGATCTTTGCGGCGTTACGCTGTTTCTTGTACACCGTTTAATCTTCGTCACAACGCGAGATGATGTCTGTATCCAAACGTTTGCGACGCCGTCGTGCTAACTGTTTATATTCCGTATCAAACCAATGCGGTTTGACAGGTCCGACATTTGAATACTTCAGGTGAACGAGCTGAGTACAGGGGACTTTAGCTACTCCTTCATTAATAATCAACAAGCCTCAAGCGACGCTTGCTGTGTTAGCTTCCAGTCAGTCTGACTTGTTGTTTGGACGAGCCCGTTGAAGTCCGTCTCCCATAGTTGAATGTCGGCTTCCGTTGGTTGTGATACGGTAACGACAGTTTTATGCTTGCCACAATGGAGCATTGGTCACTGTTTGCCAGAGGATCGAGGACTCTGACCTCTTTCGGATTCTGTTTGCAGCTCGTAAACATTAGGTCCAGACAAAATGCCGAGTTCGGAGTTATGCGCGTTGCTTGGACGACATGTTGCGTTGCCCCGATTTCAGTAGTCCTTTTATCGAATTCGACCTCAACGTCGCTATAACCGGGAAGAAGCCGAACGTCTGACTAGAATATCAGGTAACTTTAGATCCACCATCAGTAAGAATTGTGGGCGGTTCATGTGCTTCTATGTATTTGGCAGCCAATCGCAACAACGGTTTGATGGGCTTGGGTAGATAACAGCCACTATTATTTCTGCGCGTCTGAGGCGGATTGAGCACCACAGTTGCTCGCTCCGATAGGTGCTGATTAGTGACGATTTGATGTACAACAGAACACCACCGTGGGCCTTTGATTTTCCGTCACATCAGAAGCATGAGTATCCTAACAAAGAGGTTTCTTGGGGTACTACTTCGGTGTTCAACCAAGTCTCTGCAAGTCCTAATACGTCCGGCCGCTCCGAGACAGCGAAGCGACACCGTTCATTAGGCTGCACACGACAAATGCCACACGGAGTTCCTGGGTGGTACTGCGGGCCGTGCCTGAAGGTTGAGCAACCAATTGATACGGGTTTGTACATTCTTCTCCATCACCCGAAAATTTACAGTCTGTAAGTCAGTCTCACGTTCTTCAGTACGGCGTTTAAGCCCAATGACCGCAGTCTTCAAACGATCCCTGGTTCCAAGTCTCGGCGGATGTGAACCTTTATGCCTTTCAGCCTTGGTAGACGAGAATGAGCTACGGCATATTGTGATTTGCAAAGGTGATTCTCAGAGGTCGACATGACTGGTTAGTTTTCTGGTCAAGTCGAGCTACATGTTTAATCGTCACTGCTGTCTTGACCCGCATCTAAAAGTCTATCGATGAGCCCTTGGAGAAACTTAACATCCTAATCATAATGTATCTGGAGGTTTTCATCTTTTGACCGTGTGCTCGGGAGACCATGAAATTGTGACGCCACAACGAAATCGGTGATGAACCTGTGGGAGCAAGACTAGATGCGCTTATCCGTTTGGGTCATTGTTTACCAGCAGGGAACGCCTGAAATCGGTTACGTGGTCCCTTGCACTTTTGAACGGTCCATTGATCCTCGGTGTTCAGAGGTTCACAGACAGGCTCTGAGAAATTCACGGACAGATCAGTGAAGCGGCATTTCGGAAATTCGAGTCTGAGTCTTGAATCGGTAAGGAACATTGAACCTGAGGCCCGGCCGGGTGAGAAGGCGCTGCTAGTGGTGCAGATCGCGGAGTGGCAAGATAAAGCACGTTGACAGAGGTACTTTAACGAAGGCGTTCGACCCCGTGTGGTGAACGGTTTTTTTCCGCCTGTAAAAGAGGTTTTTCTGTAGTCGTTGATGGTCGCTGTGTATTATGATGTCTTGAACCGCGATCTTAATTACATATAACTTGGAAAAACGGATGTCGGATATCGATAGATTTTCGAAACACATCAACGGATAAGCCAATGCACGAAATCTGGAACGAAATATCGCAGCCGAAGCACCGAAGTATATGCGCCTTATGTACAACAACTTTCGAACTTGGATCACAAGTAGCATCGCAATCCAAGATGGCGGTCACAGACAACAGCTGAGCCAATCAGTGAGGTCTCCGGAGTTATCCAAAGAATATCCACCAAATTTGCACAAATTGAAAAGTGCACAAAATAAAACTATTGAATGCACACAGAAAAAACGCTTAAAACACAATAATCCGATGCAAAAGTAGAATCTAGCACACGGTAATTCAAAAATCCGCGGCGTCAGTGAGTACAGCCAACTTGACCACAGATTCCTGGAGAAACGTATATGTGCTTGCCTTGGTAAACGGTGCCAGTGATGCCAAATGCAGAACAGAATTGCTCGTTGTTCCTTAGTTTATCTTTGATTGGATCGAAAAGTTTTCTGAATATGTATTTCCCCGGCATTCTTCACTTAAATGTGCAGCGTTACAGGCAAGCGCACTTTGTGGATTTAGGGGTTTTGTTTGCGTCAGACGATCTGAGTATAGTTAATGTCTTTGTAACCTGAGACGCTTCCGGAACACCTGCATAAGAAGGCCACTGTTATTGACACATCTTTTGTCATTGCGAGCAACGGCGTTTTCCCTGGCATTTCCTTCTCATGAGCCAGTCTTACGTTCCAGCTGCGCGCTGTTATGTCGAAAATGGTGTCAGTGAGGTCGGCACTTAGGTGGTTTGCCTTGACGTCTTCTTCGCAACGGTTTGTGACGACTTACGCTGTCATGACACTTACTCCTTGGGTTATGTCGTCGAAGTCAAACTGCGACTGACTGAACCTCTCCGATTCAGCGGTTGTCGACTTTGTTTTTCCGCTGTCAGCTTGTGATTGTCTCCTCGAACCTGGGTTCGACGTATAAGCAAGACTCTGCTTGATAAACATTAGTCGAGCATACATAGCACCTATCCGAGCCATCGCAGCATATTCTGTTTAACTTGTTGGTCTGACAAACTAGGTGAATCATCACCACTTAGTACTCGCTTATGCACCACGTCGTTGCACAAACGCTGATTTCACTCGATATGGTGAATCCCGCGTTGTCAGTGCCTGATGTCACAAGGTCGAAATATCAAGCCTTTTCTACCGTTAACAGTTGTCTCATTGATCTTTAACCTCTAGGTGTCGCAATGCCATTGAAGATGTCCTGAAGAACGCTCTGAGTGATTCGTTGAACCTTGGCGTTGAGCTCCTCCCAGGTAGTCGAGTTGTTGATTTGAATTATGCTGATGATATCGTCTTGCTGGGTGACGATCCACACGTCGTCCAACTTGCACCAAACCGCTTGGCGATTGAAGCATCAAAGTACGGTATGTACTTTTCGCCATCCCAATGCAAGGCTCTTTTCCAAGACTGGCAGGTGCCTCTGCCTGCACTCACGCTTGCTGGTGAGACACTAGAGGTTGTGGAGAGCTTTGTCTACTTGGGAAGTTGCATCACTGCTGGCGGGGCCTGTTGGGGACGAGATTTCGATGCGTATCTCGAGAGCACGCCTCGCTTTTTCTAGGCTGAGGGATTTGTAACGTCGCCACGACATTCGTCTCTCCATCAAAGGGCGGGTCTATTGTGCAACTGTTCGTGCTGTACTGTTGTACGGATGCGAGACCTGGCCCATTCGTAAAGATGACTTGCACAGGCTATCCGCTGTCTGCGGTCCATTGTCCGTGTGTGCTGGCAGCACCACGTAAGCAATGTGGAAGTTAGACAGCGTGTCTTGGGACGCGGAAGCCACTCACTCGAGGAGCTCGTCTCACTGCATCAACTGCGGTGGTTGGGACACGTGTTGCGCATGCCTGTCCAGCGTTACCCCCGTCGTGCTTTGTTTGCACTTGCTGGACAGGACTGGAAGGGACGGTCTGGTGGACAGCCTACAACATGGAGAAGCTGTATGAAAAAGTTGACGAAACAGTTAGCCTCGGCCGGTTGTTGTCGACTACCTGGTTGGGGTCCGAGAGATGCTGATAATTGCTGGTTAAAGGCCTTGGAAGCTATGGCTCAAGATCGATGTCAATGGCGGACGTGTGCATCGGGCTGTTGCGGTGTCCCTTCATCCTCCCCCTAAAAAAGAACATACTGAAAAAATTTCAAAAACTGTGAGTGGTAAAATAATATATATATGTACATATATATATATGTATATATAGGTGTCGCAATTCGTTTAGGATATTTCAACCTGCTTCAATGCTTTAGTTGACTTGAGTGGTCTCATTCCATTCCTATTTTTTCCTAATACAACCTAGGTTGTTCGCTCATTTGATTCCCGATTCTGCAAACCGCAATTCCAGGGCGAATCCGCGAACCGTAGTTTAGAAACGACACTGCATCTTGAAGTTGTAAACCACATTTTAAATGATGGGAACATTCAGAGTAGTGAAACCAGAGTCGTTTACTTTTTACAAAAGGTCTGGTCTCCCTCTCGATGATAGTTGCATAGTTTTGCTCAATATGGCAACTCCTTATAATGGAAATTAGATTGTCATTAGGGGTTTTAAACCATAATCTTGTAACACTACTTGTAGGAGAGACATCCCGATAACAGCATGGAACTTTGTGTGCCATTTCATCTTTATATTTTTGAGCCATAAAATGGAAAGTTCTTAGGTGGGCTCCTTCGGACTGGCTTGTCCAACAGAGAGGGGTGATCGACTGAATTGCATGAGCCCCTACAGTTCAGGAGCATGGCCATAGTCCGCACGCAGTGCTTACAAATTGGATCTTTTATCGGCGCCTGGCTTGATCCAGTTGTCTCCACTTCTGCATATGGTAGGGGTGATCTTGGTTGTACGTGAGCTGAGATGCTACCATTGCCCCCATCTTTATTCAGGATAACGATTAGTTCTGTCCATTCAAACCCCTAACTCGAATTCTAGCCACGGGAGAGCTGAAACTTGACATCGATCATCAAATTATATATCGCTGCATACCACGGAATTTCGACCGCCCGATCTTCAGGGCTAGAAAACAGGGCTTACCCCACCTTTGCTTGTTGACCATGCTTGTATTGTTAGTAGTCAGTATTTCTGACTACTCCACACAACTAGGCTCAACTAGTCCCGGACACCGCCGTACTACCCTAGCGAGACCCAATTTGATCACTGCTCCAGCAACTTCTTGAATATCCACTCGAGCGACGTACTACTTTGCATCTAGCGACTTAGCCCCATTTTTTGCTTTATCTTCCGGCCTACGACGCTGCCTAGCTGCATCTGTATGTTACACATCGTCTGCCACTTTGAATGAGCAACACGGACCACCATCTTGCTCGGTCATTCTCTATACGTCCCATCTATGGACTAGTCCACCTAGCCGACTTTTCGTCACTACTTCCATTGCTATATTGCATGCGTCTCGCACCCTTCTCCTACCCAGGTGGGTATCATCTCACTGGGTCCTTCAGTACCTTTTTATATGTTTACGTTTATCCAACCCAAATGCGTTTCGTTGTGATGGAAGTGCCCACCATGTACCAATCTTTCCAGCGATCCTTGGGTCTCATCTTCTCGCCTTGCTGATGTCTGCGCGTTTTTATTTTACTCTCTAGTAACAGTACTGCTACCATTTAGGCTACTTTCTTCACACCTACTCACGGTTACCATTTCTTAAGGTCTATCCATCTATTTCATGTAAGCTTCTTACGATGCTGTTGTATGGCATCATGCAGTGGCTCCTGTATGTTGCACGGTATCGTTCTGATCGACTGCTTCGAATTCAATTGCTCCGATTAACTGAACAAGATGGTAAGCCTTCGGTCACCAGTTTGGTAGGTACAGACGAGTGATATCTAGGTCCCCAACGACATATTTTAATGTTCTCTGTTCTATCGCATTCCTTACTTCTCCATAGCAGCATCAAATTGTTCCAGCATGTTATTCTGGCACATGCTTCTGTTCCGTTTAACTTTGCGGTTCCCAACAATTTCTTCCTCGTTGTCAGTTCTCATACCGGGTTGAGAGACATAGCCGTTTGCTTCCGTACTCTTTAGTAATCGGCTCACAGTTGTCTCACCGAATTTGCCCGATTGCTTCCCTGGGGTTCATTCATGCACTGTGGTCAACTTCTTTGCATATCCGTCTCGCAACGAATTCCTCTGTTGCTCCCATTACATGACACTTGACTAGACATGACATAGTAACTGTTGACACAGTGACCCACCCCATCATCCCCCATCACTTCTCGCCGTAATACATCCATTTCTTTAACAGATACCTATTAGTCAACAGTACTCTGGTCACGATTGTTCATTCCAACCATTATTTCTCTCTGTTTCCTTTTCAGCCCTGGCGTTATCCTCACACCTCTGCAACGTCGCAGTGGTATGTCCGAGGAGGAATACGCCGCATTCATCAAAAATACAGCAGTTACGCATCCCTTGGGCCGCCCCGGGGAACCAGAAGAAGTAGCTTCAGCCATTGCCTTCCTGGCTAGTTCTGCGAGCTCATTTACGACTGGAGATCTACTCCTGGTGGATGGTGGGCTCTCTGCAGTGTGTCCACGTTAGAGCCATTACTCTGACCCCGCTACCCGTGATTTCTGTTCCTATTGATCAAGTACTGATGAATTCCTACCGTTGATTTATGTCATGTCCGGTGCTAAATCCTCTCCATTTTCTAACCTCCATGGTGAATTCGATTTTCTCTCAGTGTGATACATTTTTGTGTGCAACGACTCCAAGCTGCTTATTAAATGGTGCAAATACGCGTTTATGTGTCGCTTTATCGTTGAAGACTCAGCATGTTGGCTAATAGAAGCAGTACGTTCTTGCTATGTTCTGATGCTTTGCTAATCTACGACCCTGCAATTACAACAGAGAAAAGTGGACCAAAAGTAAAACCTTCATACTCAGCGCAACATTCGTGGTCATAACAGCGCCGATTGGCCGTGATCAGCTGACAACCCTACGAAGAGAGGGCAGCACCTTATGCTTTCCTTAATGACTCGGACTCACGCACATTTTAAGTTGTTTGGTCGGCTAGAAGATAACAGCAAACACACCACTAACGCCGGTTACGACTTATGTCTCGCAATTTGCTGAACTCAATCTAGGATGAGTCATCTGTGAAGCGAGAAAGTGCTTACAAGGGGATAGTAGTGGGAGTGGAATAGCTTAAGTACCGGCAGCGTCGTGCAAGCCATTGGACAATGAGCGACGCTATAACACATCTAGCAACTTGGTCACGTTTGCCTTTACCTTCTCCCTTATCCCAGTGGACTTCATGGACTATTAACGGTCGGATTCTAATCCCGCAGAGGCCAGATGGAATGCGCACTGCACGCGATGCAGCGGCCATACAATGTTTTTCCGGGCGTGTGATGGCTGTCTGACTGTGTTTCGATGTGATGAATTTCTGATTATAGCGAAATGGTCTATTTTGATCCATCAAAGACTATCTATCACTTCACTTGGTCCTATGTAATTTCTCTTTTTGCCTAACCCCTATTCCGAAATGTTAACGTCATGCGGGAAGTAGGTGGGGAAGAACGGAAATAGCTGTGAGAATAATATTTAACTAACGGGATAAACGGATGTGGCACATATAGGCAAGTAACACTGCGGTATGCGCATACATATTTACACAAGGGACTTGTTACGGACTGCGTACGTGTAACGGAAAACTAACATGGACGTCAGTTACATGACTGAATGCCTGGGGAATAGCAAGTTTGGTAAGCTAAAGTGAATGGGTAGTCTCCGGTCAATTTGTAGTGCCTTAATGCTCGCAACGGCGGAATGAGATTTCATAGCGTGTATAAGTACTTGATGAAACATGCTATATATGGTTGGCGGCATCCGGTTTCGGATTTGCCTGTCACTGTGGCAAGCCACAGGACGCCTGCGCCTACAGAGGGACCATGGATGGCTTGCGCTGCACCACCCACAGCTCCAACTACACACCCCATATCCAGTGTAAACCCGAAGGAATAAGACCGGGAGGCATGCGGATGGGAACCACGTTTCATCAATGGAGCCGGCCCACACTCCTTCACAGGCAAACCAAGCACACTGTATTTGGGAATCAAGCGCACACAAGGCGGTGGCTGGACCGTAGTCCGCTCCACACTGACTGCATGGAACCACTCTTCGAGCCTAACACGGCCACAAGGACCGTGCACCCCGTCCCCTCCAGCAACGACCAACTGTCTCCTGGAGCCAGTATGGACGAGGTAGTGGGTAATAGACAGGTAGGCACCTTGACAATATGCACATCAAGCGCAGCCACACCGGGGATATCAAACAACAGCCAAACACTTGAGAGAGAGAGACAAGAAAATAACTCGATTAATGCATAAGGAAACGGTGACATAAACCTTAAGTAAATAGCATATGTAATAAGTTGTTTACAAACAGATCCTAGCTAAGTGCACGAGTTCAGGAAATATAGTTCACGGAATGCCACGAACACAAAAATGTTATGGAAATGGAATACAATTGGCTGAAGCGAAGTGTGCAAGTTAATGGAATAGAGTACAGGGAGATATTTATATGAGAAAGAAAAGCATTAAGGTAAAAACTGTAAACTCACCACCTGAAATAAAGAGATACTATATATATATATATATGTGTGTAACTGAGGTTAATAATGCGTACAGTTATGCGTACATAATGCTGGATGAAGATAAATGCCTAAATTTATTTATAAATACATGCATTTCCATTTTTTCAAATTAAACCGGATAAGAAATGGATTTGTCCTGCATTAATCTATCTATGCTTACAGTCTGATGTAGGTAGAGAGTTGTGCATCTACTATGGTAGCATTGATAGTCAGCATTATGCAATGTAACAGGGCGACAACTTATTAGTCTCTGCTGAGATTGCTTAATGCAATTTCCCGTAACTGGATGCTAATGGACCAAAGTATACGTTCTTTATATTTCAGAGGTATATTTGACCTTTTGCATATGTGCTTGAGTAAAAACCTAATTACAGCATTGGCCAAATTACTAGAAATGTTTGTTCAGTCAGCAACTTTTTTTCATCTTTCAGCACATATCTCGTAAGAGTCAAATGATGTAACCGTCAAATGCTTATATTTACCAAGATTAACATATATCGATTAGAAAAGCATCAAGGTTAGTATTTCTTAAATGATCAAGGAGTTAACATGCAGAGGCATAGTCAGTGAGATTTGTCGTAAATGATGACAAATTGGTTGATGTGAGGTGTACATTAGTTATGTAAACGGACGGTTACATTTTTATCATACTTCGTTATTTACAGCTTTAGTTTACATTCCAGGATTACATTTGTCTAGTTTTGAATCAATTTATAGGTCCGTTTACTTACTTGTTAATTTTCAAGATGCCTGCTCTAATAAAGGCACAACCGTATTGATCGCTAGTTTTTAGATGGTGTCCGCATAATAAAGGGTAAATTACGTGACATCACCCCTCGAAAGCGTACGCAATTTGACATTTTATTGAAAGAATAGGTAAAAGGAGCAGCAATTGCAACTAAGATGGGTATCAGCTCAGCGCCTGTTTGTCGACTTCTAAAGAAATTGCAAAACGTTTACCTTTGTCACAAAAACGTTCCAGTAAATGTTGTCTCAGAAGAGAACCAACAGTTCGAGACGACTCACTTCTACTGAGCGAATGCCTAAAGAATCGCAAAGCATCTAGCAGACGGCTACAAGGTATGCTGGAACAGCATGGTGTTTCAGTTATTTTGAGAACTGTAAGAACATGAGTTTTGGACTCTGAACTTGCAGGCATCTGAAAAGCAAAAGTTGCCCAAACAAATGTAAGCAAGACGACAGGAATGGGCTACAAAGCTTCAAAAATTGTCCAGAGAAGACTGGGAGCGGGTAAGAAGCGGTGGTTTCATTTTCATAAGTAGTTTGCAGACAAAGTGCGTCTACATTACCTTTGCTGCCTATTCTGCAAGTTTCTGTGTTTCAATCACATGCTTTTCAGTAATGAGTGCATCATCCGGTGCTCTGACGCGCCATCTCTATACGTCTGCCGATTAACTGGCTGACAGATTAAGAAAGATTGCATCATTCAAAGACTCAAACATCCCACGCAGGTCATGAGTGGTCGACTCACCATCGTCCAGGGTAACATGAAGCAGTAGCAGTACACAGAACTACTGAAGCACTAACTGATCCCACAGCTGTGTGAATGGTCAAAGGAAAAAAGGATTTACAGGAACAGGAGACTTCATTTTCATGCATGACATTGCTCCATCTCACAAGGGGCGTGTAGTCAACCGTTTGCTTGAGTATTGTAGTACAGAACTGTTACCATGGCCCGGTAATAATCCTGACATGTACCCAATAGAGAATTTATGAGCAGTGCTAAAGTCAGAGATGAAGAGAAGATTAATTAAAACAAGCAACTGCTCAGTTACCAAATTGTATCGACCTGACCTCGCAGTGCAAGCACGACTGAACATCGCAAAACTCATGCATTTCATGCTTTGTGTGTTAACTCATTGAAAATTGCCAAAGACTCAGTTACGAAATACTAACCTTGATAATTTTCCATTCGATGCATGTTATTCTTGGTAAATATCACCATTTTACAGTTACAGCATTTGCTTCTTACGAGGTATGTGATGAAAGATGAAAAAGTTGCTGATTGAAAAAATCTAATGTTTTGGCCCATACTGTATGTGCTTGCTAGTTCCATGGAGTTTAACCAGTATCTGTAATTGTGCATCTCAAATTACCAGGAATTGGTTTAGGTAGGTTGTGCATTTCATGAATAACATAACAAGGTTGTTCTGAATAATACTGAGGAAAAGTTACCAGGTGCAATATATGCAACGTTATGGGAAGCATAACCAATAATAGGATGGCAAACAAATAAGGAAGGCAATAAAGTAATATGGTTGACATGGTTTCATACAAGTAGCTTACGTGTACGCGCAGGACTATATGTAGCTTCATGTTCCTGCGAACGTGACGGATGCATAGTAAGGCCATATGATTGCCACACAGGTGGGTTTTTTGTGTGCAATCAACCGGACTCCATGGTTCGCCGCGGTTGGTTGCATGGAAAAGTATCATAGACCCTATAGCGGTGGTGTCATATAGATCACTAAATACGTATCCATTTTTGGCTTTACTTCTGTAAAGGAATGGCGCCTAGTAAGCCAGTGTAGGTCCCACAGTGAAACTTAATTATGTCCTACGGCGACACTTTTCTTATCGGCTCCACGAGCGTACATGAACGGCCTGCACTAAGCTTAAGGGCGTCCCGTGATATTTGCATCAATATAGGCACTAAGGAAGCCTCACCCACTTGCTGCGCACGCCTTGAAGGCTCGCTTTTAGTAACGCTTTATTGGTCCCAGAGCCTTGGTGTCCCAATCGGCACTAGCGTAGCCGCAGTTGTTGGAACCATAGTCCTTAAAGACGGGTGGTTACTAAGCCCATAATGGGCCCGCAGCGGTGTTATGCAAATCACTGCTAGCGTATCAAATCAGCTTGGATCTGCACGCCCCTAGAAATGGTTTTCACTGTGCCCATGGCAGCGGCATCAATTTTGCCACTAGGGAATTGTCGACGATCGGTCTCACACGCCAAATGGCTGATACTAAATAAATCCATGTGGGTCTCTCGGTGGTGGCATCATAATCGACACAGGGGGACTCCGCTATAGACACCGCGCGCTTCCATAACCAATGGTTATGAAATGCGTCTAGGTCGCGTAGCAGGCGTTACTATCGCTACGAGGCAAGCTACAGCGGTATCTTTAGGCAGTGCGACAAAAAGAACGGAAGGAAGTGGCTTTG